AGGAGGCTGCGAGACACGTTCTCGAACAGAGCGTGACCCACTTTCCCAGCGCGCAAGTGGAACCGCCGGTGCTGCGAGAGGAACGCTTGGCTTCCAAAGCCTGGCTCCTGTGGGATGGCACCAGCCATGACACGCTCATGGAGACCCTCAGCAGAACTTCCCCGCTGGTGCTATGGGGCCTTCAAGCCCAACCCCCTGGCGCCACCCTCTTCATCGTCGCCTTCTGCCTCCATGGCTTTGGTGCGGTGGTGGTGCAAGGAGGTTCTGGGTTCCTTAGTGTTCTTCATGTACTTAATGGGAAGGGACACGTGGTTTAGGTCTTCTCACTGTTGGGGTGAACTTGGTGGTGCCTGGTCAACACCTTCTGTTGATTGGCTTTACATACATACATATATATATTAAAGGTCTATAAAGGAGCTTTCTAGAGCTTCTTACCCATCTAAGCTACCTCCCACCAGCTGGGACTGGAATTGTCTCCTGACAAATGCCTCGTGACCTGGCGCCCATGTCCCAGCTGAGGAGCTGGACCTCAGGCCCCCCCGATGCTGATGGGAAGAGCTTGGGCTTCTCCTCATGCTTCAGCACAACGGGATGAGCAAAGACCTCCCAGTGCTCCTAAGGAGCTATGGGCCATTGAGACAGGACTTTACCTGCCCCCATCCCTTCCCAGGACCTCAGTGGGACAGTGGCCACCTCTCGGTGTCACTTCGTTCCTTCACAAGCCTGCTCCTCTGGTGAGTTTAGGATGAGTCCGTTGCTCAGAACCCACAAGGAGGGCACCCGGTGGGACTCAGATCAGCCCCTGGGCATCCAGCTTGGACCACTTGGCTTTGCTCCACATTCCTGGTGGGATCCATCGTGGGTAGATGGTGATGGAGACGTTTAACTGGGCAGGGAGTGTCTCCAGCGTGGGAAGAGGGGGATGAACTCCTTGTTGTCCTGTTCTCCCTTATTTTAGGCAGGAAATCCTCCAACATGTGGACGTCATCAAGAACTTCTCCTTGACCAAGAGCAGCGTTCGCATTGGCCAACTGATGCATTACGACTACTCCAGCCATAAGTACGTCTTCTCCATCAGCAACAACTTCAGGTCCCTGCTTCCAGACGTCTCTCCCATCCTGAACAAGCACTACAACATCTGTGCCGTGGTTGGGAACAGCGGGATCCTCACCGGGAGTCAGTGTGGCCAAGAAATAGATACGTCGGATTTTGTCTTTCGCTGCAACTTCGCTCCAACGGAAGCCTTCCAGAAGGACGTGGGAAGGAAAACCAACCTCACCACCTTCAACCCCAGCATCCTGGAGAAGTATTACAACAACCTCCTGACCATCCAGGACCGCAACAACTTCTTCTTAAGCTTGAAAAAGCTCGATGGGGCCATACTGTGGATCCCAGCTTTCTTCTTCCACACGTCGGCCACGGTGACGAGAACCCTGGTTGACTTCTTTGTGGAGCATCGAGGGCAACTGAAGGTCCAGTTGGCTTGGCCAGGCAATATAATGCAGCATGTGAACAGGTAGGTGGGCTTGTGGTTGGGTTTAGCTTGTCTCACTGTGTCTCCTGCTGCACAGATCCAGCTCTTGGCTATTTCACTCCTCTGGTGGGCACTGCCCAGCAAGGCAAGACCCGCTACTGCTTGCTTCTACATGGGGTGGCTTCAGGAAGTCCTTCAGGTCACCTTTGATCTGGGTTGGTGGTGGTCTTGGTAGGGAATGGTTGGACTTGGTGACCTTCAAGGTCTTTTCCAACCTGCTTGAGTCTATGATTGCCTTGGTCGGAACCGGATGAGCTCGCAGGTCCCTTCCAGCCCCAACCACGAGCCTATGAAGTGAGGTCGCCACGAGCAGCCCTGAAGGTCTCCAGGCTTTGCTTGCAGCCAACCTAACGTGCTTTCCTTCTGTCCACAGATACTGGAAGAACAAGCACTTGTCACCCAAGAGGCTGAGCACAGGTATTCTCATGTACACCCTTGCTTCTGCCATCTGTGAGGAGATCCACCTCTACGGCTTCTGGCCCTTTGGCTTCGACCCCAACACGAGGGAGGACCTGCCCTACCACTACTACGACAAGAAGGGAACAAAGTTCACCACCAAGTGGCAGGAGTCCCACCAGCTGCCTGCGGAGTTCCAGCTGCTCTACAGGATGCACGGGGAGGGACTGGCCAAGCTCACCCTGTCGCATTGTGCCTAAAGAACCCAAAGCTTCAAGTGCCAAATGATTGTCGAAGAAGTGCCCAAAACCCCCCACTTCAACCTCTGCAGATCCGATCCCAAGCAACAAATCCCCCCTCAAACGTTTTCCAGCCTCAACAGATGCTTTTTTGCCACCCTTCTCCCTGCCCTTCCAAGGGTTTAAGTAGACGGATCTCATGGATGCTCTCCAAGCAGCTCAAAGCTGAACTCTTTGCACTTCTGAGTGTGCCACTAAGTAGGTTTGAGATCTTCTCCTCCTTCAGCATTCCATAAATGCCCCGATCCCTTCCTTTCCTCCAGGGGAGCTAGAAATGCTCGTTTTAGGAGGTTTGGCTCCTCCTCTTTATGTTGCTCTGGCGTGGCCCAGCGGGAGGGTCACGCTGAATTCCAGTTCCTCTTCACTTGCAGGTTCCTCTCATTCCCACCTCGTATTCCTGAATTTGACGTGTTTTAAGAGCAACTTGAAGCTCCCAACACGGGTTGCACCTTCGGGAGGTGTTTATATCCCCCTTGGAATACTTCATTCGTGCCCCATCCTGGTCCAAACGAGGCTGCCACACGTTCATTCCCATCCATGTGATCCATGGAATCATGGAGTGGGTCGGAAGGGACCTTAAGATCATCTAGTTCCAACTAGGGACGCCTTCCACTAGAGCAGGTTGCTCCAAGCCCCGTCCAACCCGGCCTTGACCACTGCCAGGGATGGAACATTCCCAACTTCCGGTGCCTCAGCACCCTCCCAGTAAGGAATTCCTTCCTTATGTCCTACCTAAATCTCCCCCGCTTCAATTTGAACCCATTTCCTCGTCCTATCGCTCCAGTCCCTGATGAAGACCCACCTCCAGCACCTTTGTAGGCCCCTTCAGACACCGGAAGCTGCTCTGAGGTCTCCATGGAGCCGCTTAGGAGGAGCGCCCCGGTCACGTCTCCAAACCCATGGTCAGGCAGCTCAAGAAGTGGCCCCATCCGCTGGGCACCACC